CTTCTCCACCGAAGCCAAAATTCCACAGGAGTATTTGCCGACCTTTCAGTGCACAGCTTCTCATTACACTGCACCTCAGAACACCGTCCTTTAGCAAAGGTCTTTATTAAGGAGAATTAATTAACTAGGTTTGCTGTATAATCAAATTATTTTCTTGGTATAAATTGAGTAGAGTTAGAAGAATGCTGATCTGTTGCTCCTCTGATTTCCCCGCATAGAGAATAAAAATAGAAGAAGATCCAGATGGAGAAATTGGGTTGGGATCAGATTCCTTCTGAATACAGAGTTTTGGCAGCCTCAGAAAACGGGGTGAACATTGCTGGGATTTAATTTCCTAAGCGCACTGGAAAAGTTAATGTTAAAACATCCTGATTTAGAGACCTTTGAAAGAAAGGGAAATGTTTCCTTCTGAAGCAACTTTTCATTTAAACTTTGAAAGAAAGGCAAAATCAAGGGCAAAAATCTGAGTGAAATGTTTTAATTGTTTTTGAAAAAAAATTACAGTGAATAGGCTTTGTTTGTTTTGGGGTTTTGGGTGGGTATGCTTTTAAATTTTCCTCGATGGAGCAGTTTAACAACCTGGTGTCTCTCAGCCCTGTGTGGAATATTCCTCCCCACCCCTTTCACTCTAGTAATACTTTTTGCTGCCTTTTGAGCCCTAGATGAAAGCCCAAAAACCTGTCAAATTTTGTATTCATCTACCTTGATCCTGCTCGTGTTCTTCTGGCTCTGGTATTCAGCAAGGTGTGCCCCAGCTAATGACCCCACAGACGACTGGCACCCTACAACACTAGACTATAACTTTAAGCTGGAAGGAAACCCTCTAAACTTTATGAAGAAAATATCTCTCAATTTTTAATTTGTGTTGTAATTTTTTTTATGATGGTGGATCCACTTTGCTAGCAAGCAAATGTTTCCTTTAATTGGCATGTTGTCCCTTGCCTCCTAAATGACTGGTTTGACTACAAATTGCTCAGACTCTGTGATTTATTTTTCATCTCTTTTATTGCAGGCATGAATACAGGAACAGGTAAACAGCTGAGCCGTAAAAGTTTCTCTTTAGGCTTGTTTTCAACAAAATGCCATCATACACTGTCTGATGATACACGCTGCTACTCAGGTGAGATTAAATGGTGTGAGCAGTCTTGCTTTAAAGCTGCTGCCCACCACTCAACGCTGCAGCTGCCAAAGAAGGCTTTTCCTCCACTTACTCTTTAGCTTCCCTCCTCTCCACATCATCTACAGCTTCTTTTACGGCACGTAACTTTACAAAACACAGTTGTGAGGCTAATCTTACATGCAATTAGAGATCAGTCTCAGTATATTTATTGCAAACTCCTTGAACATCAGGACATTAAAAAAAAAAAAAGAAAGAAAGAAAAAAAAGAGAAAAAAATATTCCATTGTATAATTACAAGTAGGTTTTTTGTAGCAAATGAATCAGAAATGTATTCAGAAAAAATAAATAAATAAAAGCAAAGGCTATTTGTAAACAGTTCAAACAAAACATGATACTGCCTCCAATGAAACATTTCACTGCATTGCCAGCTCTGTTTCAAATGGGCACATAGGCATCCTGTTGCAAGAGAGTGAAGCCATGAACTGAAACTTTGGAGGAGTTAATTTTCAAATTTTGCACTTCCAGGGTCTATGAAACATGAAAAGTCTGCACACATGGTGGGATCTGAGAGAGGCTGGAATCTCAACCAACGCTTCTAAAGAAAACTCAGTTATTCCTCTTAAAATAGTGGAAACACCTGAGCCACACAAAAACAAAGCACAATTGGTTGGCTTCCATAAGAGGCTGCAAAATGAGAAAATATTTAACTCCTTGCATAGCTATTTAAATGGCCAATAAATTTTGCTGGAATCACCCAAACATGACAACATTGCATTCCGCTGCTCAGAGACTTCACGCTGAAAAGCTGGGATCTGCTGACGGGCTCAGAGCATCACTGGGGGCACTGCGAAAAGCCGGGGCCACCCCTGGTTGGCTTTGCCAGCGTGGCTGCAGCAGGAGGTTTCACCAACCAGCTACTCCCAGATGGAGCACAACCATAGCAAAGCTGCTGTGCTTATGTCAACTCTAAATTGTTATCCCAGCTCTCTGTTCTTCCACAAGGGATAAAAGCTGCCCTGACAAAAGGTTATTTCTGGCAGTTTATGTCCACCTAATGTGCAGAGCTTCCGCTGGCAGAGCTATGCCGATCACAAATCGTACCTCGATGCTGAACCCTGGATGATGCAGCTGAGTCAGCAAGGGTTTGCAATGTAGACCTAGCCAGAGGGACGGAAAGCAGGATTCATCTCACTTAACTTTAATCAGTATAAAGGTAGACACTTAAGTCAGAGGCACCTCCGGAAGACAGTTCCTTTGATCTCTCATCAGGTGAGAGCTGAGCATTTTAATGTTAGATGAGATGAACCCTTTCCCAGGAGAGCTGAAGAGACAAAATCCTTTCAGCCATCCATTCCTGTCACCAGTTCTGGACACCATGCTTCAGAAGGCTGCTGTTCAAATGCGTTATCTTTACACATGTCAATGTACATGATAATGATAGCCTGTGCTGGGCTTCATGCTGCCACAACTACATATGCAAGCTTAAAGCTAGCTCAGATACTTCTGCACTATTATATAGACATACCTTCAGGCAGAGTATCCTTTAACACCTGTAAAGTTAAATTGTAGGGGCAAATCTGCAATATCTGCCCCTCTGCAATATGTTCATGTTGACACTGTCTTGTTCACAGTAGTTTTGGGTAACAGGTGTCCTAACACTGTAATTCCCAACCAGAAGTGAGGCAGAAGTGTTTCTTCAGAGGATGTGAAAACTGAGATGCTGAAGCATGGCTGAAGAAGATACGTAGTAAGAAAGAACAAGATGATGACATTCCACAGTTAAAAGTTTAGTTTGATATCAGTAAAACAGTTTTAATAAAGCTCCATTAGACTGCAGAATAGGAAACGGTGGCAGCCAGTGGATAAGACACTGAAACACAACAAGGCAACGTACTTGGAGTTGTTCTGTAGAAAATGTCCCACAGAAACTAAGCAGCCATATGAGCCTTTCCCTCTTCTCCTGGTGGGAACCAAAGAAGGAGGAATCTCTGCCCTTCTTCAGCTATCCCAGAGCATGCCTCAGCTATAAAGACTTGGCCATATAAAATAATCTTGGTTCACATTACATGCTTTCTGGTTCTGACTATTTCAGCTGAAAAAATTTTATACAGTGGGAGCAAAAATGATGTATTAAAAACAATAAAATAATAGACTGTTTATGAGCCAGAACATCTTATGGGCTAGTCTGACCCAGGCATTCAGTTTTGCTAAAGGCTTTTGCTTAAGTGACCAAACTGTCCTAACATGGATCTATTTTGCCCCCAAATGTAAAGGCATATTGTGGAGTTCCTAAAGTCCACTCCATGGCAATCAGTATGACTGAAGGATGTGCTCAGATATTTTTCTGTTTGTTTTTTTCTTTTTTGTTCTGGGTTTTTCTTGATTGTGACTTTGTGAAACTGTTTCCAGTTCAAACACAATTGGGAGTTACCTAACAGGCAGAAAACCAGATTCAGCTAGTCAGCTCTGTGCCATTCTCAACCTTACTTTGTTTTCCTCTCCCAAACCAGCATTTATAGTTACAATTTTATTTGTTCTTCAGAATGCTCACTCTTACTTGGACACAGGCAAAATGTGCTGCTGCTTCTCCCTCACCAATACCTACTGGGAAGTGGTGAGAAAAGAGTAATAGGAAATTGCATTCTTTTGTGCCTGTGCATTTTCCCCTTCTTTCCAATTTCCTCACAGGGATTTAATGTTCCTAATCGATTTTTAAGGACCCTGGATTGATGGAGCAGGGCATTAAAACATAAGGAACAGAAGTATCCTGGCTCTGCAGCTAGAGGGTGGACAGCACACAAGCCATATGTGATTACTCAGAAAAGTCCCTGGAATGCTCTTAAATCTACAGTCCAGGTATGATTTTGTGGATCTTTGTGCCCACTGCTCATGCTGAGCCACTTGATTAAATTTTGTAATATGATTTTCTACCTAATAGTCGTCCTGTGTATTTTGACCCAATTTATGGCAACCAGAAAGTTTTGGGTTTGGTAGATTTAAATAGGAAGCCTAATGCTACTTTTTTGTCCCAGCAAATATAAAATAGACAAGTCATTTTATACCTTCACACTGCAATCCAGTCTTACGAAGCTCTCCAGAACTCTCCTTTTAGAAAAACAGCAGAAGCTAACTCTGAAGGAAAGCCAGTCTCACAGCAATCACTTCCCAGCCTCCACACAAACAAACTGCTTAAGCTGAGATAAAGCCATCATAATCAGTGCCAGATGAAGGACAATCTTTTATCTTAATACAAATAAGAGAACATAGTGTACAGAGTAACAGAAAAATATACATCTTCAGCCATACAAAACACACAAAAGCTTTCCTGTGGAAAAAGAGTACCCTGTAGCTGACAGTCAGATGTTGTTAGTTTTCTTGATGACCCTGCACTGTTGAACAAGGGGAAACAGAGACCTTTTTTTTTTTCCCTAGGAGATAGTTGGTAGCATTACCTGTATGCCATTAATTCCCTCCCTGCAGCTGTGGCTCTGCTAGTGCTGGACCACCCACCCCACCTCATGCCTGAGATAGCTCCACTGGGTGTAGAGGCTGCTTGGGTGTTGGAGGTGAATGGGCTATACAGCCATGTGCACTCTCCACAGGTTTGCTGGGACATACATGCTGATTAGTAGAGTTAAAAGTATGGGTACAGGCACAGCTATGCCATAAGCTATCATTGGTTTTTGTTCTTGAAAGGGACCAGTCAATTCATGTCAGTCAGGAAGGTAGTTTATTTACCCAGGAAGGAAAAAAATTCTCCTTATGTGAGCTACATCCACACCGCTGAGGCTCTGCAACCTTCAGTCCTGGGGCAGAAGATGTCTAAGCATGGGCTAGCCTTAAAGCCTAGGCAAACTGGAGAAGGTAATACTCCTCACTTACTTTAAAAAAGTCAGTATCAAGCTAGAAAGTCAGTAGCAAATTGCTTTAAACAACGGATTTTTTTCATCCATTAATGGAAATACGATAAGATTTAGTTGAAAGTTTAGGTCAAGGTGACAAGCTATAAGGGAGTATTGGGTGTTTATATCTGTATGGTGGGGTGTCTCTCCCCCCTGCAGCTATTTATATCTCTGAGTGAAGGTTAAGGTTAGGAATTTAATAAGACAGCCATTTATTCTGTGGAGACTAACAGTCCTGGGGTTAGGATGTAATAATCATTCTTCTGCTTTAAAAATGGTTCTCTTAACAAATAGCAGTAGCTCATTGCAATTTTCAGTTGTACAAAATGACATATTTTTCTATGTTACTATCAAAATATTCTGCATAACATTAATTTCTGTGCACTTATTAACATATGTACAGAACAGTGTTTCCCAATAGAAATCAGTATGCTCCTTGCTGATCCTCTTCGCCCTAGATTTACCAAAACCAAACCAGAAATTAATTGTGTTAATAGTATAAAATCTCAGGAGAGACAAAGGATTGAAGGTTTATTTCCCAGCAGCAAATGAATAAAGGAACTCCTTCAAGTTAAAGTCTAGCTGAGACGTAATTTTAGCCAACCGTGGTGAATCCAGGCGAGCCAGGAATATCACACATTTTCCCGATGCATTATGTTGAGTACACAGAAGCAGAGGAATGTAAACAGACAGAAGGCACATGAAAGGCCCCAATCCATTCTCCATCTGACGGAAGTGCGAATTTCATAATTCTGTCATCAAGAGTCTTTTCATCATTTTCTCTCTCTCAAGTTCACGCCTCAGAGTCTCAGCACTGTGTAATTAATGCACAAACAGCCAATTATGGGAACAACAATAAGTCTCAGATTTCAATTTAAAATAATTAACATTTTCAAAATACCAAAAGAGGGGAAAAAAAGGTCAGGCTCAATTCAGTGAAAAAGCTGATAACTGATGGCTGATTCAAAAACAAGTATCGCTTAATATTTCTGAAGAGCAAACAGAGGCAAGAAGAAGGATATAAAAAGATCCACATGGCAATACAGTTTATAATTTCATATAACCCCCATTAAAGGCTACTGATTTCAAAGGAAGCTGGACAAAGATTCTAAAAATGGAGCAGCTGCAGTAAATGCCATTATGAAAGACTACTGTTACAGCCTTCTGCTCCTTGGTATGATCTGATATTGTGAGATATCTATATAAATAGATATATAGATATGCTGAATTTACCATAGTCCTGCACATATCAGGATGCCATAATCAGAGCCTGAAGTCGTTGTTCCCACTGATTCACTCCAGAGCCCAGAAGTTTTGTTACCCTGGGAATGCCCTGGGTTAGTGATTCCGTTTCTGAAACTGTTTACCATGCTCTTCTGAAAGTCATATATCTCACACTTGTAATACAGTTTGGAGATTTAAACTGCATTGCAGAAACCGTGCCGCCCATTCGTGGACAAGCAGGGGTAGAATCACCCACTTGTGCACAAGACATCTTACAGAAGCTGAGTTCAGCATCACAGCTTCAGAATTACTTTTTCATGGGAATGATCAATTTTTAGATGAGTAAGCAATGCTGAACAAGTGTGCAGGTGCAATTAACCAACATCTGCAAAAAAATAATTAACAACCAAAAATGGGAATTGAATGTGAATCCAAAAGCATAAAAGACTCATTCATTATGATGTCAAAGAAATACTTTTTTCTTCATAAGCCTTGGACTATTTGTGCTCCAGAAATACTGACTATATCTACTGCTACATTTATATTTAGTAAATTATCAGCTTGGGAAGTTCATCTTTGATTAAATTATAGAATAAGAAACGAGCATGCAAAACCAGTAGGATAAAGGAATAGAAAACTGAAAAGAGTCTGTCTGTGGAAAGGTGGTTTAGCTTGTTGCTTCTCTGAGAAATTACAAGACCACTGTAGCTTGACATTACTAAAATAGAAAAAAGAAAAAAGAGAAAGAGGAACAAGAAAGAAAACCAATGCCTGTTTTTCATTTAGAAGAACAGACATTTCTCAAACTAAGCTTTCCCTCATAGACATCTAATTTCAAGAAACAAATTGTAACAGCAATTATTAAAGCAAAACTTGTGTGGTTCAGACAAAATGACTTGCCTGAGGAAAACCTGCACAACCCTTTGTCTCCAGGCCACTGGCCACAGAAATGGTACACTGCTGGCTGCAGCAGTTAATTAAGGTAAGCTTTTCTTAATCTCAGAGCACGAGAGTAGGAGTTACAGATATTTCTTTACATAGCCTACCTATTCTGAAGTAGACAATCTTTCAGTATAAGAGAAAATTACACTTTATGGCAATTATGACAGAAAAAGGGAAATCAAGCTAATTCCTTTAATGCAGAAGACATCATAGCATTTCTGTGAAAGAACTGCACAGTACCTGTCTGCCAGCGAAATGGGCTTATGCGACGTATATACTGTCTGGACTGTTGGAGTCGGTATAGTCTCTGCCAGAGACCTCAGGACGGGTGATGGAGACACCAGTGTAATCTTAGGAGATGACTGTACCCCACAGCATTGTAATTTGCTGTCTGCAAATTCTGCCTACAAAAAAAAAAATATGTATACACACACAGAAAGAAAAAATTGTAGATTAGCTTCTACTGGTTTTGCCATCTTTCACTATCCAATTCCTTGCCAAGCACGCAGTAACAGCAACTAAGAATGAGAACAAATGGGAGGCTGTGGCTATAACCTCTCAGTGCAGCCTCTGCAGCAGAGGCTGGACAGTCACTTCTTTTGATGCCTGAGGGACCAGCCTGATTGCGACATGCTCTGAGTGAGATGGCACAGCATGGGACTGGCAGCATTCAGGTAAAAAACATGATCAGTTTGGAGAATGACACTTATCATTATTGCATTTTCCCTAAAAATTATGCAGAATCTTGATAACATGAGATTTCTCGAATATTCTTCAGGAATCCTATACAATTAGCTGGTGGGTCCTCTAAGTACTCTGTGTTTTGTTAACAGCTGGGAGTCTGGGCTTTTAGGAGTGCAGGTTTCAAAATCTCCATCCCTTTTCCACTTTTGCTAACTGGAACATGCCTCAAGAGAGATATTCTTGCAGTATCCAGTGAAGGGCAATGTTAAAGCAATATTGGAAGTGCAGATTTAAGACAAACAGCAAGCAACTATCTCCTGTCTTTTTGGTGAGATATTTCAGCGCAACAATATTTTAGCAAAGATTGGGCTATTTTTACAATCAGAGGGGGAGGATTTCTAAAAATCAAACAGCCCTGTCTTGCTTTTTGGCATGGGCTATTTCTCATGCCAAACCACAACAGCTAGTGCCTGTGGTGTATGTCTGACCCCGACCTGGGAAGAATACAGAGCAACTGCAGTTGTCAGTGTGTCAGGATCATTAAAATACACTCCTACTGGCATCAGCTACCTTTCTTCCTTGATGACTATTTCTTCTGAACCTGGTTCATAGTCTAAGGCAGGGAGGAAGAAAAATCACCATCATAAGAAAGCAGCTATTTGAAGAGCAACCTTTTTTCCCCCCTAATTATTTCTCAAATTCTGCAAGCCTCGGCAAGTGATTCATGAACTTAGTTTAAACAGGGGGAAAACTATTTGAGCCCAGGAAAGACTTGTTAGGTTTGCTTGCTTATCGTCACTTTTTAACGTCTAAACACTTCTCTAATGATCCAAAATAACCTCTGAAGCAAAAGGAATTCCATTAATTCCACAAAATTAGTGAAATGGAAAAATGTAAAATCAGCTAATGAAACTCTCCTGTGTGTGAATAATGGCTAATAGAATCTGTTCAAAATTCCCTGTCATTCACCTTTTAAAACTCAACCTTACAAACTGCTGGGGTATGAAATTTGGTGTTCCTCATACAGGATCCCTGTGCTCCGAGGACTACCAGATCTTACTCTATGGCATGAGAAGAAGACATCACTCTGAAGCTCATATAAATTCTCCCAGCCTCACTGAAATCAGCAGAGTGATGACAAACTACACTTGCTGAAAATTTGCTCTGGATGATTATTTTACAGTAGATATCCAAAGCATCTTTTTGTATATATTTCTGATTGCACAGCACACTTAAGCCAAATATTTAGCTGGTCTTAACAGAAATAATTTCATTAATTTAAATCTACATGACTTACACCTGCCTGAGAATATGGCCATCATGCCTGACATTTTTCTGTGGCAATCTCTGAAATTCAGATGGTTCCTGGCTTGAAGCTTGTATTTAAACATTCCAGGTAACCAAATCATCTATTTTTTCATCTGATCAAATCAACACAACTGCATATAGACCACCAAATTTGAAGCTGTACATGAAAGGTAAAGTCTTCTAAATGTCATTATTCATAATCCTTTTCCTGCTTAATAACATTTCAATGTTTTCTTCCAAGCAAAAAATTTTTAAAAATGGAAAAAAAAAAAAGTGAAGGGGAGGGGCAAAGAAAGGAAACAACTACAAAGAAAGAAACAATTAACAAACATTACCATTAATCTAGGTCTGTGTGTGACTGGAGACCATTCAGAATTAGATCTGCCTGCAAGTCCTGGCTGCCCTTCCCTTACAGCTCCTGCCTGTGCAGCTCTCTTCAAGCCCTCAGCAGTGCATCTGGATGATCTGAAATGCTGCTGTGGAGAGACACCTTCCCTTGGGCTGGGACACAGGGCCATGAAACACAGGATCAAAGCCACCCAATGCTCGTGATTGTTTTCCCATCTCTGTGCAGTCCTGCAGGTTACTGCTTGTTCACCACAGATATTTGTACATAATGCACTAAAAGGAATGTACAGGATCATGTGATGGATCATACATCATTGGGTTTTTATTGCAATGGTATTTTAAATATTTGTGATCTCAATTTTGCTCTCCACTCTGCCCGGGGAAGGGAAATCTATGGGGAGAAGATGGGATTTCAGAAAGATTAGTTTGAATTTTGCTTTGCTTCTTTTCTCCTGAGAGAACATAACAAAAATTCCACATTTGAATTTGCCACGAAATAGCCATTTTCTGCAGTATGGATGTTTCTGTGGGTAAGTATACATCAGTATACCTTCTGTTTGTATATTGGAGTTCTGAACCCCCAATTATGAAAATATGTTATTATAGCCCTCTTAAATTTTGCTTTAATCCTAACTGTCAGAGGCAGGAAAATAACATCTGACAATCAATACTACTCAGTGTGAAAGCTATTTTGGGGGGCACATCATTTGGCTTAGATAAAAGAGAACTGTGAAAGACACATGCACCATAACTTTGGGTTAGCTTTTATCACAATTGTACGGTCTGGACTTGGCTGACATAATGAAACATGGCTGTGACATTCCTGTGTACTTTCAAATGCATTTAATTAGAGCTCAACTGTGGCACTTACACAGCTTAGGGAGGCTAACTAACTCTGGCTTTAAAGTACCTGCTTGGAGAAAAAACTAATTTACATAAAAGCCCATGATCAGGTTTATGGTGAAAGAAAAGCCTCTTTCTTTAAATCATTAAATACAGACAGAACCTTCACATGACCAATCAGTGAATGAAGTTACTTGTCCTGGATTATATGCCACATATAGATTGCTGCAACCAGTAAAATTCAAGGTCAAAATCTGAAATGTAACTTTAAAAATGTAAGTCATTTTACATGGCATTTATAAGCAGAGTGTTTCTTAAAGAGTAGTTAATTTTGTCATGCTTTTTTTTGTCATACGTATTACATAATGCCTCTGCCACCAAAGCAAGATTTCAATCATACTTACTTTTTAAATTGTCAGATAATTGTTTTCTGTTTTTATGTAGTTTACCTCACCAAAATCCCTAAGTCACGTCTTCTGGGAAAATTTAACAAGAATGAAGTTCAATATTGGATTCAAGTTCTCGGGTAAACATGTGAGTTTGTACAAGGATACCATTGTAGTCATTCACACCCCAACTACAATTCTTTAAAATTCATCTGTAAATTCAATGAAAATCAGGGCCCTCTTTGTGATGGCACAGCAGGTGGTTTCAGGCAGGAGGCCATGCAATTGCTAGACAGAGGACTAAGTCTTCCCATTCCCCTACTGCTCCCTGTAAAGATGTCATGGAGCTTCACAAGTGTCCTCTACAGTCCTAAAATGAACAACATTTTGGGACCAACTTCATTAGTGGTGAATCTTGACCTTTAATTTTTAGTCCTCTGTCTAGTAAGCAGCAATGTCTGAATGCAGGCAAGTTTTTGTATAATGGGAATATTTAACTGCTTCATACTCTTAATTTCTACTTGTAATTTATCTCTTTTTTTTTTTTTTTTTTGAAGACTGCTTAGTGCATAGATTTCTGACACAAAAAAAAATCAGTTGGAATTGTGTTAAAACACAGTTTTTTAGTTGCATGTTCTACTTACAGAAAACTGTGGTACTGTTGTAAAGGGATCGAAAAAAGGATTAGATGTATCAGCAGGGAATGTCTTTATCTTTAAAAAAGATAAAGAAAAAGATGTTACTTTCAGAGCATAAAAATGCAAAAGAAAAAGAAAAGCAGCAAAGCATTGCAACTATAGTGACATATCCAACAAATCAGAGCAGTTCAGCAGTGCTTGGACCCAAAAAAGACCCTTCCAAAAATGCATACAGAAACCTGATGATGAATAGTCAAAGCATAAATATGAAAACTTGATAAATTAATTTTACCATGTAGTTAAATATGTTGAGCAAATACAGAGCTGGTTGCATACAATATATCTTCCAATTCTGTCACCAGAATTATTATGTGATTCTTTCAGCCAGCACTACATTTTAAGATATGCGATATGAAGTGCAGGAGCAAATATTGCTGTAGAGGAACTTTGGCTAAAGAACTTGTGCTTTAAATATTTTAGACTTCCAAATTTTCACTTGCACAGTTGCTGCCAAAGACAAACAATCACACAAGGTGGAATCAAAAGAAAATAATGTATTAAAAAAACACGGGGACCACTGTTTGTTTCAGGCAGCTAGGAGGCCCTGTGCTGAGTGGAGGGCTGTGGTTAAAGGATGACCCTTGGAGTTTTTTTGAAAAGTGCATGGAGACAAAGAGGAGAGAAACCAACATATCCATCTGCTGAGAGGGCTGGTCCATGAGGATATAGTCACTGGGGTGACCAGACCCTGCTGGAAGTCACTTCTGCCCTTAAAGTAGTTTCAAACATTAGCTGAAATTAGAAATATATTACAAGCAGCAACAATCTCTGTCCCACTTCACTGTGAATGCTGTTTCTCATTACTTTCCTTTTTAGAATGCAGACACTATTATTCATTCATTCAGAGAGGACAAAATAGCAAATAAACATTTGAGTTTTGAACAGCACTTCATGCTTTCCCTTTGGAAAATTACATTTTTCACTGTAAAGGTGTGTTTTTCACTGTATTATAGAAACTGCTGTGCATTGGTTTGTTATGCATGTTTTCAATCATAATTTACTAACTACAGCTATACAACTGTTGTTTAATAATGAGGAAAGCTGCCTTGAGGGCCCTGAGCCCCTGTAGGCCAAAGAAAAACCTGGAATTATGACATCAAATATAATTAAGTAAATGTACAGTGTTTATTTTACAAATAAGCCAGCAGAAACATATTGGTTTATAAGGGTACCAAGGGAAATTAACAGCTATCTGTGAGTTTGCTTCTGTAAACATGTGGAATTAAGCTTAGCATTAATTGTCAGGCTTCTTATACATGAGGAGTACGGATAGCAAAGATACCATCAAGCATGTAAATAACTTTTTAACGGAGTAAAGGTGTTTGTAAATCAATTACACAGGCATAAATGAGCTAAAGAGGAGAAATTACTTCAAATCACAATTTTCTATGCAAAGTTTTTAAAGGAAGTTTCACAATCCTTTTACAGTCATATACTCATATCTGTTAGCAAAGTGTCTGCTCTGTTGCTGATTGAACCTAACTCATTAGACTAACACAATAGCTCCTCACAAGTTTGTTATGTTACGTTATACCCAGAGCCAAATCTGGACAGGTGTAGCATGTCTCACTCTTTTGAGAGACAGCAAATACCCATGAGCCCAGGCTGACATTCTCAGGTTATGAAGGGTTTACAATATGATGTTACAGTACAAAGTACAAGTGTACTCAGTTACAAATAAAATCTTTGAGCCAAAGACAAACGGATGGGAAGCTGGTTGGAAGTTGGTTGCAGTATGAGTTTGATATCCCATAGTTAAAATCTCTTCAATTTTGCTGGCTAGTATCATTAAGGAAATGAAACACAGTTACTAAATGCAAGAAATAAAAATTATGCAGACTACTGGAGAGTCCACTGAGATCTGGGAGCAGAGGCACATAAGAGGAGTCAGCCTGGTCACATGCTGTGACCCACAGCCATGCAGAATACCCTCTTGCAAAACCAGCACTTCAATCTGTGGAGATGTGTGAGGCCAGTCTATGTATCAAAACAGGGCAAGAAATGGTTAATCTGGTTTAGTTATCAGTGTGAGTCCCTCTCTCGGGGAGCTGTGGTTCTTTAATCTTGAGAATAGGACAATGTCAACAAAAGAAAGACTCTCTGGATTATAAACCCTTTAATTTCTGTCTTTTAAACAAAGTGGAAAGAGAAATTAGGAAACAGAGGGGAAGAAACCCATACCTGTGTTCAATTTAAGAGTGACAAATAAACCATCCTGCTTAGCCTTTAGTATTTACTCTTTCTTTCCCCCATATTTTTTTGCCTCTGAGAACAGGCCACCGTTACTCAAAAAGCACAGCAGAGTTTATTGGTTTGGCTCAGGCCTTGATTAAATTATTGCCACCAGCTTCCATAGGCAAGGCAGAGAGACAACACTATTGCTACTTCTTCAGCATTGGCAAGAAGTTCTTAACTATGAATGACTTGGCTCTTCGGAGTAGGAAGTTGGTATAGCATCCTAACCCATACAATAGCAGAAAAAAAAATATATTTAAGAATATTGTTCAGGCAGAGATATTCAAGATGGGGAGACAGCAGAGGGGAAAGCATCACTTTAAAAACTGGCTTATGTGAAACTTAATTTGGAAATTTGAAAGGTCTCTTCAGCCAGGAATTTACTTCACCTACTTTGACCTAACTGTCCTGCATGTTCACCATGGCCAGCAGTAGCAGTTGCCAGGACCTGGAAGGGGGAAGAAAAGCCTGTGATTCCCACCCCACCACACAAAGGAAAGCAGCATCATGGGTGAGTCTCTTCCTTACCCTTGCACTGGAGTTGAGTTTATTGCATGAAGTAAAAAATCTCAGAGTAGCTCAGAAAGCAAAACAACTCCCTGACCAGAACCTAAATGTTATGCCTTCCCCACACAGCCTCTCTCCCTGCCCTAGGAGGAAGACATACCATACTTTAAATATCTCCTAATTTACATGGAAGAAGTAGACTCTTAAATATTCCAGGGTGCTTTCTTCTCCCTGTCATGGCAGCATCAGTTGAAAGATGCCACCTGGGAACTGAGAACAAAAGAAGGGCAGAGACAACTCTACCATCTGCTTCAAAGCTGCAGTTCCTCCAGCATCTGGAGACCCTCAGCAGCTTCAAGACTTTACCTGGGATGGCACACATGAAGGGAAAAGGAAGAGGGAAGAGGAAGTGGGCAGTTCCATGGGCAGGTTGATCTCATGAAGCTGAACTCTAGCTGCTCAGGGGAGTAAGACACAGTAACTGTCAGTGCGTGGATTGCCTATAAACCAGAGTGAGGTTTGCTATCTGCTTTGGTATGAAACAAAATAAGTAACAGCTTAAAAAAGTCTACAGCTTTAAAGGGCACAGTTCCTGTCGTGGCAGATGGAGCAGCAATCTCATCCACATTGCTCAGATGGGCATTCTCTGGTACAGTCAGGTTCTTCCACGGGAGCAAAAGGGACTGACTGGTGTGACACAGGGGCTACAGAAATATACAGAAATGAGCAACAAGAGGTTAGAGCTTTGCTCTCCTTAACAGTACAGACAGGCTTTTAAGTACAAAACTTGATTTCAAGCACACTTGCTCTCTCTGCAGGAGTGCCAACAGCCTTGAAGCCAAAGTGACAGCCAGAATACAACCTTTAAGGCAGGCCCCATGAGTCAGGTGGCAGGGACATGGCATGAAAGGGGGGTGAAGAAGGCTGGCATTCCAGCAGCATCTCACATGCTGAGGGCTTGTTTCATAACCTGAAATGACCCTTGCTTGAAAGGTCAGGGTGCATTACCATAGCAGAACAACTTTGGACAAGTAGCTCTTTGTCTGGAATATTTAGCTTGGCAAGCTGAGAATTTACTAAGCTTAAAATAACAGTTGACTCTCATAAAAATTAAAAAAAAAAAAAAAAAAGAGAGAAATAATAGAAAAAAGAAAATTATAATAATAAAGAAAGGATCAGCATAGTGTCCAGAGAAGTTCAATAGTTGAGTAATCTCTAAGGTGAAAAATCTGAAAACCAGAGAGATATAACAGTCACACTGATTTTTGTGGGAAAAAAACCAAAAATTTTTTCCTCTGTGGATAATTTTCTGCTAGTATTCAAAGATTCTTTTTGCATTATTGCTGCCCATTGGAATAACATATTTTGGAGGAATCTTTTCCACAACCAGAAAGAATTTACAGCACTGATTTTCCTTGATATTTATATAGCAAGGGAGAATGAAGAAGACTGAAGGAAGGAAAAGGACAAAAGGACAAGGATCTTCCCCTTTTCTTTGCATTTGTGCAAAGAGTTCTGGATGAAATTTCAAATATCAGTAAAAACAATTGCACATTCCTGAAACACTTTTCAGATGAGTTAGGAGAAAAAAAAGAAAGTAACTTTCTCATAAAAACAAATGGAAGTGGAAGGACATAAAGAAAGAGTACTTTTGTCGAGTTAATTGATATAAAATCAGCTGTTTTGGTATTTTTATCAGAAGGGAATATTACAAATGTCCTTGCTCTGGCAAAAAAATACTACTTTTGGGAGAAGTGGGTGTAATTTGGATATGTTCCCTTGCCTTTGGAATAGTATATTCACTGCCCTGGCACAACTATCCTTCCACAAAGGTCCAATCATATTTTCTGGTGTTGACACTTCACTGCCATCCCCTGCACCTTGACTAGAGGCACTTGTAACATTATGGTGAAGAGGTGTTATGTCAGTGGGTTTGCACTGTCACTTTATATACTGGCCAGATGGAAAACAGACTTTAGGCCAAACACTTCACTGGATTCCCATGTGTTGCAGCAAGAGGAGGCAGAGCTGCTAACACCTGAAGCAGTGTCATAAATAAGGTCCTCAGGATACACATAGAGCCAGAGGAGTATTCTGTCATGCTTTATTTCAAAATACATAATGTAAGTTGAATATCATCATATCTATACAGCACAAAGACTTGTTTCTACTCATCAAATTAAAAAAGGATATCAGCTGAAAAGTCTAGAGGATATTGCACTAGCATTTCCCAGTCCTGACATATGACATGACTTTAAAAATACCAGTACACC